ATATATATATATATCGATATATAATATATATATATATATATTATATATCGATATATATATATATATACCGATATATATATATATATATATGTGATCACGATACACATGTATAAATATCTAAACATTGTGCATACGCATATAAACATATATTCAAAGTGTACATATATAAATATAAATATAAAATGTATATATATGTATATATTCATATGCATATATTTATGGGTATATATATATATATATATATGTATATTATAAAGAAGAAATGTCTACAAAGAAATAAACAAAAATGATATTACTGCAGATTCATCATAGAGAGGTGCGGTGTCTCTACGGCTCTCGTCTTCTGCTGCTTTTTCTTTTCTTTCTCTGCACTTCTCTCTGCATGCATGCATATATCTCTGCATGCATGCATGCGTATTATCTCTGCAAGCATGCATCTCTGCATGCATGCATGCATCACTTCATGCATGCATATGTCTATCCGTGCATGCATGCATGTATCTCTGCATGCATGCATGCATGCATGTATCTCTGCATGCATGCATGCATGCATGTATCTCTGCATGCATGCATGTATCTCTGCATGCATGCACGTATCTCTGCACGCATGCATATTTCTAGCATGCATGTATCTCTGCATGCATGCATATTTCTATACATGCATGCATGCATGCATCTCTGCATGCGTGCATATTTCTGTGCGTGCATGCATGCATGTCTGCATGCATGCATATATGCATTGATCTCTGCATGCATGCATTTCTGCATGCATGCATGCATGTTGTATATATATATATACTTTATATCCACAGAACAAATAAAGGTTTTAAAAAGAGGAGGAGAAAGCAAGAAAGACGCCAACGGGTTTTAGCTGCACTTGAGGTGTGCAGACAGCACAGCAGCAGCAAAGAAAGAAAACAAGAAATGCTGCTGTATCTACGCCTCAATAAGCATGCAGAAGAATGCTGTATAGTTATATATATATATATATATATGCTGTACATACACCTAACGGCTTCAGTACAAGCCGAGGGGTATCGCTGGAGCCCCTCGCGGTGTATATACACCTCAGCAGCATTTGTTTTGCTGCTGTTTTGCTTTTCTTGTTGTTTTTTGTTTGTTCATTTGGGGTTAGGGCTGAGGAGACTCTTTTACTTCTCGTGATGCTCTCTTTTATATCCTTTCCCTTCAGCTGCTGCAGCATCTGCTGCTGCTGCATCTGTTGTTGCTGCTGCTGCTGCAGCGGCAGCGGCATCTACAGCTGCACTTTCAGCAGCAGCTGCTGCTGCTTCTGCATCTGTTCCTGGTGCATCTGTTGCAGCAGCTGCTGCTGCTGCTGCTGCATCTGTAGCTGCATTGTTTGCTGCAGCAGCACTTGCTGATTGTGCATTTGCTGCTGCAGCTTCTGCTGCAGCTGCGTCTGCTGCTGCTGCTGCTACTGCTGCTCGCACAGCAGCAGCAAATAATTCAGTGGGGCTAGGTTTTTTATTTCTTGCTTTTATAGTGTTGCTATCATTGAAGCTGCATGCAGGAGGAGCGAAGAGAAGATACACCTCAAGCGGAATTAGCTGCTCTTGAGCAACTTCTTTTATCAGCAAGACCCTGGAGAGTCTGCTTCTGCAGCCAGCAGCAACATCAGCAGCAGCAGCAGCTGCCGCTGCTGCTGCAGCTGCTGAGTTGCCCTGCTTCAATGCGTTGTTCTGAGCAAACCCCACAAACGCATGCATTTCCTGCTGCGCATACACCGCAGCGCCTACAAGCTGCTGCAGCCCCAAAAGGTACTTTGCATTCACTCTGGGGTTGCTGCTGAATAGGTGCTGCTGTTGTTGTTGTTGTTGCTGCTGCTGCTGCTGCTGCTGCTGCTGCTGCTGCTGCTCGTGGTGGTGCTGCTGCTGCTGAGCCTTCTCCTTCCACCGCAGCAGCACTGCCCTGAGAGAATCTCTAATTGCTGCTGCTTGCTGCACGTACTGCTGCAGCATAGCTCCTACTCTGCTGAGAACAGCAGGTGTCTGTACACCTGAAAGGCTGCTGTCTGCTCTCTCCTGCAGCAGCAGCTGCGTCGTCAGCAGCTCCGCTCCAAAGGCCTGAAACTCTAATAAGCACCTCCCAGCTGTCTCCTTGCAGCTAATGCACAAAGGAGACACATAAAGACAACATGTCTCTTCATTGCTTCTCCTCCTCAATCCCTCTAAGCCCCCCACTGCACCTGGAGAAGCAGCAGAAGCAGCAGCAGAAGCAGCAGCAGCAGCAGCAGCAGGAGAGGAAGCACGTTCGCTATCGGCTGCTGCTGGTCCTGGTGCTGCTTCTCTTGCTTCTGCTACTCCTCTTGCTGCTGCTGCTGCTGCTTCT